TAAAATAAAATAAAATAAAAAACTACGGCCCCTGGGATGGATACGTGCAATGAAGGCTTGTGTTGCTGCAGAGAGTCTCCCCCTTCGGGGTCTTTTTGTGCGGGTCAGAGGGGGGCAGAAATTCCAACTTGGGGTCTGCTTCAGCCTCCTGGTGGGGGGCTTTGGGAGAAGGCTGGAGGGAAGAGCCGCTGGTGGCAAAGAGCCGGAGGGCTTCGTTCCAGTGGGGCTGCATCATGGCCTGGAACTGGCTGATCATCTCAGCCCGCTGAGCCTCCAGGTGCCAGTCCCTGGTCTTGCCCTCCCGCAGGTCTTCCCTCTGCTTGGAAAGCCTATGCTCCTAGTCCTCAGTGAGGTGCTTCTGTTGAGCCTCCTTCTCGGCCAGATCCAATTTGAACTGAGCTGTTTTGCCAACTCTTTCTCCTTGGTGGCTGCTTAGCTCCAGCAACTGCTTCCTGTTGAGGCATTAAGGAGCCCAGGCGGGCAGGCGAGGAGTAGCGAGTAGAGGCCGGCAAGGCGCCCCTCGACGTGAGTGATATCACTTTGGCCACGCCTACCCAGTCACATGACCACCTAGCCACGCCCAGCCATCCGGTCATTAGGCAGGTCCTATTAGTGGTCCGCGGGATTTAAAATTATGAATTGGTCCCTGAGGTCTGAAAAGTTGGGGACCCTTGATCTGGGTTACGCCAAGTAGAAGGAAAAGGTTGGCTTGGCATGTTGAGGAAACATCTGGGGTGGGCCTGAGGATGGGACTCAGATGTCCCTCAATTGACTGGTCTGCTTCCAAACTTTGCTCTCTCTTCCCTCCGACCAGGATATGCTGAAGAACACCCCAAAAGGACACGCTGACCGGTTGTCCCTCCAGCTCGCCCTAACCGAACTGGAGACCTTGGCTGAGAAGCTGAACGACCAGAAGAGGTTGGCCGACCAGGTGGCTGAGATCCAGCAGCTAACCAAGAGCGTCAGCGACCGCAGCCATCTCCATAAGGTGCGTGACCCTCAGCAGGATGCCCAGCCCCAGCGGCCAGTTCCAATTTCCTTCTGGATGTCTTCGGGTGACAACTTCTAGCTTCCAAGTGTGGTTGTCACCTGGACATCTTCCGGAAACTTGCTTTGCTTTTGGTTGGCTCTGTGAGGGTCCCCTTTGGTTCCCGGAACTATTTTAGGGTTCATCTAAAATGAAAATAAATAAAAGGTTTTGAAGCTGGTCAATATACTGTATGTATGTATTGTATATATATCTCTCTCTCATTATCTCTATCTTTCTATCTGTCTCACTCTTTCTCTGTCTCTCTCATTTTCTATCTGTCTGTCTGTCTGTCTCTGTCTATCTCTCATTATCTCTATCTATCTCTATACCTAGCAATCTCTCTCTGTCTGTCTATCTGTCTGTCTGTGTCTCTGTCTCTCATTATATCTATATCTGTCTGTCTGTCTCTCTGTCTCTGTCTCTCTCTCATTCTGTCTGTCTGTCATTATCCATCCATCATATCTATCTATCTATCTATCTATCTATCTATCTATCTATCTATCTATCTATCTATCTACCTACCTACCTACCT